GTCCACACCAGGGGTGTTTTAAGCATACATCTCCAGGTAATGCTGACGTGTTGAGGGTGACGTGTCTAGTTGAAGCTGAGAGCTCAGAGGGGACGTGCTAAATCCGGTTGTAAACCTTTCAAAATTAAAACAGAAACACTAACTCTTATTTTCTTACCTTTACTACCCTTTATCCTTTGCCAACCCCTAAGTGAAGTGCCAGTAAATTGTTTAGTTTTAACATCAGAACTGACGTTTTACTGTCTGTATAAGTAATCTGAGTTAATGTGAAGAAATTCGGACGCGGGTTTTTATCTCATTTACTTGGACTCTTAGTAGGAAACCCACAATTAGGTGTAATTTATGATTTGTTCAATTGTGTAAATAAATGATTGCATAATCTTTTATGAATCAACTTGAACAGTCTGAGTTCCCTCATTGTATCACTTCCCTTTGCACAGACAAATATTAAAGTAATGAGGAAACCTTGGTAAAAATTTACTCTCATAACTTGTTATGAGAAGATGTAAGGTAAGTTATTTGCATAAATAACTCATCTCTTACACCATTGTCTCCTCTGTTACTCAAGATTGTGAGCAATCTGTTTCCAATGAATCTAAAAATGTGACTGATGCTGTTGACAGCCTGAGTGAGGTGTTACAGTCAGACCTTGTTCTGAATGATGTGACCAATACAGATCACTGTGATGATGCTGACCAGGCCTCACAAACCCATGTTGGTTCTGTCGGTGCCCCCCCTCAAATCAGAACAAGATTGGGTCGCCTGGTTAAACCTGTGAATAGACTAATTCAGACAATGTCTAAACAAGCTGTGGTTCAAGACAAATTTGATGTTAGATCTGTGTGCAAGTCTGTTTTCCATGCTTTTACTGATTGATGTTTACATTTTGTGGCCTGTATCTATTTACCTGTATGTTACTGAACATAATGTCAGGTTACATTAGTTTATGCTTTGTTTCTTTGTTTTGAGCAGTACTACACTATATCTGGGGTTTTGTCGGGGTGTATAAGGGCACCCTGTTGCCAGTGGTTGGATTGAGGGACAAGTGCTGCCCTCAGTCCACTTCATCCTTATAGGATACTTTTGTCAGTTGGTTTTTGTGTTAATAACCCCTTTAGAGTCTGTTTTCATGGGGTCTGGTATGACCATATTGTGTCTGTGTAGTTGTGGCTCAAAGTCAATAAAATTCAGTGGGGGTGGGTGTAACGGAGTTAAAAATATATTCTAACATAATCAGTAACCTCACTGTTTTCATGTTTTGTGAATTTTATTTTATTGAGGTATTTTATTTTGAAAAGCATCAAAGCGGAAATGATGCGTGCATTTTGYGCCTTCAATCCTTTGGTTTCCCTCACTTTGCTGCTGAGCACTGCGAGGGTGAGAAGTGTGGAAGCGTTGCTGATGATATTTTATATTTTTCATTGAAATTTCTACTATTTAGGCTGTGCATTTGTGATCATCTTGTTGGTATAATGTTTTACAACATTATTGTAACTTTTATTTTTCATTTTGACCATGATTGTAAGTTTTGTAGGCACTTGAGAGCTAGTTTGGTGCCATCTTTTGTTTAATGCACCATCTGGTGGACAGTAACTATAATAGCAAGGGCGTGCCGCCATTTCTGTTAGTAATATTTATTTTTGCACATGTAGGAGCCAGAAGTGCAGAAAAGAGAAGACAAGTGACCTGTTTGTTTGATTGTCTTCTGCAGGAGAGAAAATAAACATTGGAGAAAAAGTATTCTGATGCTGTAGTGTGTCCAAAAACAAGCATCGTTACATATGCACCTATAGCATTTTTTGTAACCCCTCTTTGTAACTAATGATTTTGAGAAGACATTAGATAAAAACACTATGAAGTAAATCTGTTTAGTAATCTGTGTATCTGATATGAAATTATGCTCCATTTATTGCTGTGATGAGATAAACAAATACTGCTATGGCTTTGCTTTCAAAAAGAAGCTAATTTGAAAGATTTGGGGTCAGTACACACTTGTGTGCTCTAAAGATGGAAAACAGTTGAAAAGAAAATTTTACTCTTGACTGACATGTGCCATTTAAATTCCAGGAAGGAGTCAGCCTCACTACTTTCCTGGAGAAAGTTGACACCAGGCAGCCCTTCCTCCTCTGCATTGGTGAGCAAAAAAAGAACATTCAGAAGTTCTTCATCATTGTAGACCATAAAGCTATCCCATGTGATGCTCCAACTTCAGTGGCTGCTTTTGATGGACTGTTCAAGGCACACTTTGTCTTCAGCCTCTCATATGATGAAGCTTTCTCCAGTTTCTACACCTTTGTTCAAACCACAATCTACAACATTGATGTTGGGAACACAAAAGAAAGCCTATGAGTCAAGGACATGTATAGTGTGAGTCATTAAATGTAGATTTATGCTTAAATGTTTCAACTACAAAATGGGTACGAAATTATGGCACTGAATACCAGGTTGGCATGTTTTTATGTACTAGAATGTCCAGTGATCTACCTGTGTTTAAGAAAATTTGCTATATCATAATACAGGAACAACATGCATTCATACTAGGCTGCACTGTAAACACCTTATACTTTGATGAACACTTTCATGCATATTGTATTGAAGAAAAGCATAATGAGTACAGTGTTATTTGCACTGAACAGCTTAAATATGTCAGACCCTTTGATAAGCAATATTCTAATGAAAGTGAGAGAGCGTACATTGTTCCAAATTGTTACGTTTTAGAAAAACATTTTTCATTTGTGGTGCAAGTTTTGAATAAATGCGTTTCAGAAAATTTTTGCCTCTTTATTAAATGTCCAAGCTATTTCTAAAAAAATTAAAACAGTAAAATATACTTTTTTTTAGTTAATCATAAATAACTCTTATGTATAGTTAAAAAATACTCTGGGATGTTAATATTTCAACTCTTATGTAGTTAAAAATACTCTGGGATAGTTATTATTTCAACTTTAACACCAAGTTAGTGTTAGTAAGTGTTAAATTATTAACTCCAGACAGAGTTGATTTTTGACACTTAATTAGAGTTGAGATACTAACTCTCCAAATAGTGTTAAATTAACACTCTCTGGTGTGGGCCCATATAGACACTTTAGAAGTGTTGAAATCAAATCTGATGGTGTTAATTCGGGCATGATGGATTTGCTGTGAAAAAATTTCTATGCACATTCAAGACAGGTAAAACTACAAACAGTGGAAGATGAAACTATGAAAGTGAACATAAAATTTAAAAAATTTGGCAAGTCAGACATGTTAAAATATTGTTTGTGATAAATAAAAGGTATAATGTGTTTTTTGTTTTTGTTTAAGTATCACTACTTTTTTAAATACAGCAAAATAAACTATTTCAAAGGTCACAGATCTTTATAATACTTGGCTTAATTACATAATAACTTTGCTATTAGAAGACTATTTTGTTTAAATGTATTCTTTTGAGAAAATGGGCAGATATAAGATTTTTTCTTCTGCTGCTACCTTTCATTTATGATTTGTATTTTTATAGTTTTTTTTTTTTTATAAAAATGAATGACTAAACTAAACTAAACTAAATGCTGGATGTTCGGCCCCTCAGTTGTTGGCCTGCACTAACTGTGGCCCCCGGAGCAATTTGAATAGCCCTATCCTGACCTACATAAGTTATTGTTCTTTACATTTTAAACTTTGAGAGAATGGTTCTTATCTTTCATTAATTTTAGAAAAATAGTGTATGTGTGTGTGGGTATATGTTTGTCTGTGGTGGGGGGAAACATTTTCAGCTTTTTGTCCTTGAAGGAGGGTCACAAAACCTGGAATGCACAGGAAGGAAGTCAGAGAAGCAAGGCTATCTGCTCTCCCTGCTTTCCTCCACTTCCCTCTCCTTTTGTTTCCCGCTTCTTCGTTTTCTGATAAAGTGGAGAAAGAATGATGGAGTGAATGAATAAGGCCCGGGTCAGCCCGAAAGTCTGTGTATGTGTTGTGGTAGAGTTAAGCGTTTTAGTTCCACTGGTCTCCACTCCAAGGCTGTCTCTCATCACAGCATTGACCCCCCAGGAAGCTTTAGATGTCCGCCTGGCTTCATAATTCTCTTATCAAGCTAATCTTGCAGATAAGGAAAGGGGGACTTGAAAGTGTAAACCCAGCTCTGCTGCTTGGAGTCCAGTTGCAATGGTTTCATTCTTTACCTGTCTGCTTGGGAGGCTGGTTAACTCTGTACAGTTTAATGCTCACATGGACACAGCACACAAAAAGACCTGTATGCCATAGCTTGTTTTTATTGTGTGTGCGTGTTCCCAAACCCCAACCCCCTGTTCGAAATTGGGTTGCCCCCCACATGCAGGTCTGCAGGAGTATGATTGATCTGAGCAGAGGTAGTGTGGTCATCCTAAATGGAGTTGATTTCTTCCATTCTCTAAATACAGACCTGCTGCTTATCATCGCCTCAGTGTCATGTTTGTATGTTTTCCTGGATCAGCTGCATTGGAGGAAAGTGGGTGGAAGAAGTGGGATTCTGTAATTAGAAAGAGGTAGGAATCTAAAAGAGCTTTCTCTTTCTGGCTTTCCTTCTCTCAGTCATACATGCTTCCTCATAGGACAGAATGGAGACAGGAAGTCCGTCCACAATCAGGTTCAACTGGTCCAAGGACCAATGGCTTAATTAATACATGTAATAAATACTAGAGAAATTGCATTTCCTGTGAAAATGCTAGTGTTGTAGTGCTAGTGCAGCCTGTTGCTGCAAACTTTAGCTGAAAGCTGATGAAATTGAGCTGAACATGTTTAATAAAATAAGTATTATTGTAAGTTAAACTTGGAAATTTGAAAGAAGCAAAATAAATCAGAAAAGCAGTAAAAGCAGCAAAAATATAGCTGAATTAGCATAAAAAGCTAAAAGCTAAAATAGATGAACATAGCAGAAAGCAACTGTAAGAAGCATAAATAACTCAAAATAGCAGAAAGAAGGCACAAAAAGTAAAAATTAGCAGAAGAATAACAGAAAAGGGCAGACATGTAGCTAAAAAACTAGAAATAAGCTAAAATTTGCAACAAAAAAGTAGCTAAAATTGTCACAAGGAATTTAATAAGAGCAAAACCAGAAGATATTGTGTAAGGTTCTGGAAATGGAAATGGTAATTCATGCCTTCATTTCTACCCGCTTAGACTATTGTAATAGCTTACAACTCCAGACGGGACCTCCGCTCACAGGATCAACATCTCCTTATGGTTCCCTCACTCGCTTTAAGACCCGTGGTGACCATGCCTTCTCCTCTGTGGCCCCCAGGCTCTGGAATGAACTCCCTTTTAATCTGCGCTCCATTGATAATATTGTCTCTTTCAAGACACTCCCAAAAACTCACTTTTTCTCTCAAGTGTTTTAGCTAACCACTTCACCATTACTGCAAGCGTACCTCTGTAAGAAAATACGTGTTTTAATATCGGCTGAAGTCAGATGAAAACACCAGTGTTAAATAAAATGATCTGTGATAAGAAATAATGTCATACAACACCAGAATTCTGGAGTGGGGGTTTATTTTGCCACTGGCTGGCAAGTCAAAACCACACACACTGGAAGAAAAACAGAAATGGATCAGTATATATACAGAATCTTCAATGCCTGAGTTCGCCCCCTGCTGACCTATGGCTGAATCACCGGCATTAAGACAACAACCTTAATCTAATGGTTTAAAAACGGTTCACTTATGTGTTGTTATTGATTCGGACAATAACAACACATTGGACACACTGGTCATAATTAACACAACAATTATGTGTTAATTTAATTAACACATAATATAACAAACATTATAAAAGTATTATAAAATAAGGAAACCCTAATAATCTGGTGTTGTTTATAATCAGTACTGAGCTATAATAACTATAAATTTCTTCACCTTCATTGTGAATGCTTCGCTAATCTTTGTTTTCTTTACTATTGAACTTACGCCATAGTTTCTCTCCCGCATTCATTATGTTTTTGTGTATTACTGTATATTTTGACCTGCACTGACCTTGTGTTTGATTTACAATTTTAGAAATTAATTCCTGATTTGATGTTTCAATTTTCATTGCTTATGCGTAATTATGTTTTTCTGTTTGATTTTATTCTTTTCACCATTTTTATACTGTTAATGATTGTACAGCACCTTGTGAATATATTTCTGTGAAAGGCACTTTATAAATAAAACTTTACTTACTTACTTACTTACTTCTGTAAAGATTTAGAAACAGTATGAATAAATTTAAGGATGTTGAAAAATGCTCAATTAATTTCCAATTAGAAAAAAGTAGCCAAAATAGCTTTGGCTACAATTGTGGAATTTCTTTGAGCTTCAATATGTGATAGAGCAGGGGTATTCAATTAAAATTTAAAGAGGTCCAGTCAGAGARCATTTTATGAGACAAAGGTCCGGAAGATCAAAATGTCAAACTGATATATGTGTGTGCGTTTGTGTGTAGCTATTGTTGTATCAACATCTGCATGCATTGAAATGAATTCACTCTTATTCAAAAACATTACCTCCAACATAACTTCTCATATTTAACCTAATTAATATCGATTAATATTAATATAGTTAATATAC